GGGGGGGGGTTTATGTGGTGGTCCCGGGGGGTAGTTTTCACACTTTGGCGGTTGGTTGAACTCGGACCACCAACCCACAGCCCCAGTCGCGCGCGCGCGCCCCGTGGAACCGCGTTCAATGTTTTCTCGTGCGCGCGCGTGCAGCACGTTTAAACACGATTGAACGCGGGGCACTGGGATTTGAACGCGCGCGTTTGAACGTGAACGCGCGTTCACGGCGTTCAACCGGTTACACAGCACACCCCACTCTCTATCCCACACCCAGTTAGTAGCGCCACATCAGAATGGCCTCCCAGAGGCCAGCGCCAACCACCCTGATGAAGAACAGGTCTTGCGATGAAGTCTTCAGTGCCGATGGACAACTCTGACGAAGGAACAGGCAGCTATGGCTGCCACCACCCACGACAGTGTAGAGCCTCGATGTAGCCCGGCCAGATGCAGATACCCCAGGGGTAGGTGCGCTGAGGATGCCCTAGGTATGGCAGACTCAAACTGAGCCGGCTATGGCATATCGCAGGACAATTGACTTTGCTGTCTTTAGAAGTTCCCTTCTGTAGAACCATCTGTTCTTAGAAGGAGGCTGGAATGCGAACCTCACAAGATACTGTCGGTCGGGGTCTGTGCCCCACTCATCCTCAATCCGTTCCACGTCATATCCTTTGCCAGGGATCGGTGGACCAAACTGAGGGGGCCGGTCTGGGAATGCATCAGCTGGAGTGAAAGGCAGCAGCTTGGATGCATGAAAGACCGGGTAGATGCGTAGATGCAGCGGGACTTTGATAACATACGATGGACCGAAGGGATCAACGCCCATTGTATTTAGGACCTGCCATGGACCCAGGTAACGTGGCAATAGCTTAAGGGAGATATCCTCCTCCCTCGACAGCTCAGAGCTGGGCACCCAGACATGATCACCAGTACGGATGGGGGAAGGTCGCCCGTGGCGATTAGCTTGTTCAATCATCGCCTTTTGGGCTTTGAACAAGTTCGCCCGCGCTCTTTCCACATCCAAACGATAACGTCTGGTGAACTCTGTTGTGCCTGGTGTCAGATCAGGCTTAGCCTTATCGATGATATCATCGAGAGGCTGACGTGGTTCACGTCCCCAGTGTAACCGGTAAGGACTGAACCCTGTCGAGGAGTGGACAGACATGTTGTACATGAGCTGTGCCCTAGCCAAGTGAAGATCCCAGTCCTGTTGATCTGGGGAGATGACAGGACGCAGCAATTGGAACAAGACTTTGTTCATCACTTCAACCTAACCATTGGCTTCAGGATGATGACCAGAAGTCATGTCCAATTGTGAGTGCAGGTAGTCCTTACAATAGGACTGTCACTCATCGCTGCAAAATCTGGGGTCTCTATCACTGACTATAGAAGTGGGCGGTCCATGGTGAGTGACCCACCTCTCAGAAAAGGCTGCTCTCACAGCCGGAACCCTAGCTACCTCTGGCAAGGGGATGAACTTTGCGTATTTGGAGAGCCTGTCCACGCAGACCATAACCTGACGCATGCCACGGGGAGTAGTCTTGCCTAAATCTGTGAAGTCAATCGCCACAGATTGGGCAGGGCCATCAGGTGTGGGTAAGGGTTTGAGCAGTCCTAAGGGAGGTCTACGTTGGACCTTATTCCTTTGGCAGAGCTCACAGATGTCCACATAACACAGCATATCACTCCGCATCTCCTTCCAGAAGAAGCGTTGCGATAGGGCTGCATAAAACTTTAGGAACCCAAAATGTCCACGGGCATCATGACACTCTGACATCAGCAGTGTCTTGAGCCGCTGGTCCTGGGAAATGCACAAGTGCTCCTCCCCTCTGCTGTACGTGTACAGCAGATCTGAACTCATAACGTAGCCTGGTTCAGAGTTAGGATCTGCTTGCAGATTCCTGACGATGGGTCAAAAAGTCTCATCCTGAGGCAGTAGAAGAGCAATGGTCTGACGGGTCTCCTCTCCAAAGGAGTGAGTAAAGGAGATCAGAGCAAAAGAGTCGGGCCTACGAGAGAGGGCATCTGCTACCTTGTTGTAGCAGCCCTTCTTATGCTTCAGTTCAAAGTCAAACATGTCAATGAACTGAATATACCGTGCCAACTTATCATTCAACTCTCCCTGGGACTTCATCCTTTGCAGGGTGGAGTGATCTGAAAAGATCTTGAAGTGCCTTCCCAGGAGAAAGTGCTTCCAATGTTTCAGGGCACAGACAAGAGCATATAGCTTTTTCTCGTAGGTAGAGTCCTGGAGCTTTTGAGTCTTGATCTTCTTACTCATAAACTCTACAGGTCGTAGACCATTCCCATCATCCTGCTGAAGAACTGCCCCAATGCCATACTGACTGGCGTCAATGATCAGGATGAATGGCAAAGTGGGGTCAGATAACTTCAACGCAAGCACACGAGTCAAGACTTTCTTGAGTCGTGTGAAGGCCAACTGACAGGGAAGGGACTAAAGAAAGGGAGTATCTTTCTTTGTTAGGTTGGTCAGGGGTGCAGCCACTGCAGAAAAGTTCTTGACAAACCTTCTGTAGTATGAGGTCAAACCCACGAAGGACCTGACATCCCTCACTGTCCATGGCTGAGGCCACTCCTGAATAGCAGCAATCTTGGCTGCTTCAGGAGCCAGGTCATCTCCAGAGATTACGTGACGCAGATAGATGATAGAGGGAACTCCAAAGGACTTCTCTCTGTTGATCTTGTACTGGCTGTCACGTAACGACTGAAGGACCAAAGCCAAGTGCTCCGCATGTTCCCTGACAGTTTTGCTGAATACCAGGATGTTATCCACGTAGACAACTATAAACTTGTCCAGGTAAGGCCTGAAGATGCGGTGCATCTCTGTCTGGAAGCTCCCAGGGGCATTGCAAAATCCGAATGGCATGACTAGGAACTCGTAAGTCCCATACCTGGTCTTGAAGGTTGTCTTGTAGACATCCTCCTCTGGTATCTCAATCTGATGGTACCCAAATTTGAGGTCGACTTTGTTGAACACTGTGCAGCCCTGCACCATATCTAGAAGGTCATCAATCCTAGGAAGTGGCTCTGTACTCTTCCTAGTGATCTTGTTGAGACCCCTGTAATCAATGCACATCCTGAACTCGCCATTCCCTTTGGGTACAAAGAGAACAGGTGCACCGAATTCAGATGTGCTGGGTCTGATCCAGCCTTTGCTGGTCAGGGTCTCAAGCTGCTTTCTGAGCTCCTCAAGCTCAGCAGGGGACATCCTGTAGATGCGGCCCTTGGGAGGGACTGCTCCAGGCAGCAGCTCGATATGATGCTTGGTTGGACGGTTGGGTAACCCAAAGGGTTCCTGCATCAGATCTGCATACTTGTCCACCACCTACTGTATCTCAGGAGGACAAGAAACAGGGGTAACATCCGTTTGCTTGACCAGAGCAATAAACAAACGCTCATGGTCATACTGGCGTGAGAGAGAATAAAACTCCCTCGCTCTCAGGCAGTAGCAAGAGGTCTTAGGATGGTGATCAGCAACAATCATGCATGGTTGATACACCCCCTGGCTATTAGGTAACTCAACCTTTGGGATCTGCCAGTCGATCCTTGGGTTGACTGCCTTCAGCCACTGCATCGAGAATACCAAGTCAAAGGGTAGCTCAGGGAAGATATAGAAGTTCAAACTATGTCTGACTTCTCCAACACTATCGAAGGTCACAGGGATACCCTTGACCTTCTCCTTGATGTTGAGCACTGTACAATCACCAATCCTCACTAGCAGCGGTTGTTGCAGCTGCTGAACTTTCATGCCCAAGTGCAATTTCTTGACTGCAGTGGGAGACATGAAGTTCCTGGTGGCTCCACAGTCCAATAGCCCAGTGATCCTGGTGCGGTTGACCAGGGGCCGAAGCATGATGAAATCAGACTTGCTTTTCTTCTGTTCCTTCAGATGAAGGAAAAAGGCTGCAAGTGACTGGAGCTCATCCTGCCCCGAGTCCTGATCCGGGGCAGGATCCTCATAACAGAAGGATGCTGCCCGCGCAGTCCCCAAACAAACTGAATCCGTCTCAACTGAAACAGCTGCAGATTCACCTACCTGAGTAGATGAAGGTGCAACACTGGGGGGAACTGCAGTCCCCAGGGTCTGTTTCGGTTTTTTGAGTGCCCTGGGCCTGGCATGTAAGAGCAGTCCTTTAGAAAGTGTTGTCCCTCACATCTCAGGCAGGCCCCTCTCTCCTTCTTCTCCAAACTCCCTCCTGGATCTTGAGGTCATGCCAGGGGAGTGTGGAGGGATTGAGAGGGTCAGCTGGCATGCAAACATCTTTGGGCAGGTTAGGGCACTGGGAAGAGGAAGGCCGACGTCCCTTTTCCTTCCCCTTGGCACTGGCTGAGGCTGTGGTGGGGGAAAACTTCTGCTGCTGCTGCAAAACTCCCAAAACAGCTTGAGCCAAGACTGCCGTAACATCTGTCTCAACAGCAGATCCAGTCCCAGCTGAAGGTGCATCAGCCTGGGAATCTGAATCTGATCCTGATGTAGACCCCGCGTGAGTGAAGGCTGCCTTTCCCTTTCTGCCACCTCTAGGGAAGGCACCTTTCCTCCTGTTTGAGGATGGGGCCTGAACATGAAGCTTTGCCTCCATGTCCAGGGCTGCGCGGCCAAAGGACCTCCAGTCCTTGTGCCCAACACTATACAAAACAACAGCAAACTTCTCAGGTGCTGCCCTGCAGAAGTTGGTCAACAGATCATCAGTGGACATAACCAAACCAGGGGTGGAGGTAAGTTGCTCAAATTCTGCAAACAAGGCCTGCAGGGTGCCGCTGTATCGCTGCTGTCCCAGGCAAGCAATCCTGTCAGCAGCCTTGCGGGTCCGCTCCCTGTCTGCAAAACGGTCCTCCAGGGCCTGCATAAGTTTGTCCACCCCAAGCCCAAAAGCCCAGTCCTACATGGACTGCTGCAGACTGCTGGAGGTGGAGGTGACCCACTTCAATGCAGGTCCCTCCAGCAGTCCCAGAACAGTCGCCACCTTGGTCTGTTCTACACAGACAAAGCCCCTCAAGTAGGCTTTGGTCCCAGCAACCGAGTCCCCAACATCGGTCTTGGGGTCATCACCCCTAAACTTGTTGGATGCAGGGATCTTGGGACCTCTTTGATCCCCTGTAGTAACAGCACCATAGGTGGTTTTGCCTGGGGTCTTTTGGGAATGAGATGGTGTCTGGGAAGAATGCACTAAACCATGGGGGGATGAAGGAGGGGTAGAAGTAGGAGAAGGTTTGGGTTTTAGCAGAGGGAGCTGAGGGGCAATCAGCTTGGCGGCTGACAGCTGAGCAGTCAAGTTATGAATCGCATCCAGAATCTTAGACTGCTGAGCTGCCAGGTCGTCAACCCGACGCTCCAAACGATCAAAACGATCATCCCAGCTCGTGAAGTAGGAACTGGTGATCTTGTGCTCCAGAATGATCGTCTCTGCCAGGTGCCTAGTCACTTGTGCACAACGCTCATCTGAGAGCACCTCGTCTAGCTGCTGCAACAGATACTCCCTTCTGGAATTATCTGCTGCAACCTCTAGCTCAGCTGCCTCCTGCCGTTCCAATTCTGCAAGGCGTTCCTGTTGACGCCGCAGTTGTTCTTGCAACTCCTTCTCCTGCTGAGTAGCAGTCAGAGGTGGAGAAGGAGGAGTGGAGGTTGAAGGCTGTTGACCTTCCACATTCATTACAACTTCCACCTGTGGCTGCTGCTGAGCCCCATGGTTAGACATTTTCCTTTTTCAAAATAAAATCAAAATAAAAACAGCAACCTGAGTATGCAACGATGCTCAGATTCCTTCAGACACCCTGGAATCGCTGCAATCTCTCAACACTGAAATAGGTGGGTGTATAGGCAATCAGCGGTTTGGGCTGGAAGGGTGTCTCTGGGGTCAGGTGTCAGACAGACTGTAAGTCCAGCAAAATCATGCACACGATTTCCTTTTACTGACCCTGCACCACACTGGAGTTAGTAGAGTCACTCCACTACTCTTCCAGAGACACACTAGATTTCAAGAGTCCACTAGAGAACAAGTGTCATCAGTGAGAATGATGGAAGATGATTAGTACAGACAAGAGAGGTCAACCAAACCAGGCGATTCAGACAGACACCCTGTAACCTAACTCAGACTCCAATTTTGACCCTGATGACTCTGGCGGCCATACCCCAGGGTATGGCGAAGTACATTATTCACTGTATCCAGTGGAATACTGTAAATCCAATCCTGCGATTCTGCAATATTGGCTATTTCCAAATTGCGATTCACTAGGGACTGACAGAATTGAAGTTATGACTGACCCTAGTTAGCACAGGCTATTAATAGACTCAGCGCAAAACTGCAATTCACAGTATCACTACCTTTCCAGTACAGGATTCACACTTTGAGCATCCTAGAATAATCGCAATGCAGTAAAGCAGTCACAAAACAATTTTGGATTGAAAAGAGTCAACAGAGAATGAGAAATGAGCAGAGAGAGGTAGGGGAAAGATGATTATGGCTGTCATGCAGTCTGCGATTTTCACATCCAGTCACTGACAGACAGATAGACCACTATAATTGTCTAATTTAATCCTATCTGGATCGCTATGCAGGTAGGTGCATGGAACGGACTCACTTTCAGAGAATCTTGCAGGTGATAATGAAGATCTGGCTATGGCAGATGATGACCCTTATCTCGCCAATTTCCCCCAGATATTCCTCATGACAATTCCACGCACAGAACGACTTCGAACTTGTTGATCCTCCTTAGGATCCTGTAGCGCTGCACTCCCTCGATCCAGATGCACTGCATCTGGTCCTATGGCGCCCAGTATGCCAACACCAAATTATCGCGCCACAGTGCCTTGTAGCCGTTGATGCTAAAAATAGCCCCAGATGGGGTTATTTCTTCTGGAGATTGATATAGTGTATCAATCTCTGCCAGCGCTACCCAGGGATGATGTCGCTCAGGGTTCCCTGATGTCCTCAGGGGTAATTCGCCACTCGGGGTACTTCGCAATATTACCCTCAGGGCTGGCTATGGCGAATTAGCCCTGTACTCGCCACTTCCTGACAGGCTCAGTGCGCTTGCTCGGTGCAACCACTGAACACCTGAATCCACCGCTGAAAATCTTCTTCCCTGCTGACTCAGTACTGGGGAAGATGAATCGCCATGAAACTCTCGCCAGTAGATCGCCAGACGAAGAAGATGCCTCAATGCGCTCAACCCTCAGTGTCCCAATTCCAATCCCACCTCTGATACCAACTGTTATGATCTTGGTTGTCTGACGATTTTTACCGCCACTCACACACAGACAATCTCATACACGCCCATACATGCATAAGAGAAGGGGGAGAGGAGACAGAGTCCACACTGCACACAGATCAGAGTAGGCAGCGGAATACAGCTATGCACAAATGGGGAGAAGACACATAGTGTTTCTCTCTCTCTGACAAACTCCCAACAGCCAATCACAAGTAGAACCTGCGAGGATAACAATTGAAGTTACACTGATGATGAGCCAACTCAAACAATTATCGTAACAGAGTTTGTTCCAGTATCTCGCCACTCTCAGAACTCACACCCCCCTCTCTATCCTACACCCAGTTAGTAGCGCCACATGAGAATGGCCTCCCAGAGGCCAGCGCCAACCACCCTGATGAAGAACAGGTCCTGCGATGAAGTCTTCAGTGCCGATGGACAACTCTGACGAAGGAACAGGCAGCTATGGCTGCCACCACCCACAAGTACACAGTGTAGAGCCTCGATGTAGCCCGGCCAGACGCAGATACCCCAGGGGTAGGTGCGCTGAGGATGCCCCAGCTATGGCAGACTCAGACTGGGCCGGCTATGGCTGCTGTCCACAGCGAGGTCTCAGGATGCCGCCTGCAGACCGTCACCGCCACCAACTTGCTTGGCTTCTCCCACGCTGCTTCGCGAGAAACGAACTGCCCAAAAGTCCTGAACCGATGGGCCTAACCTATCTATAGACTACCCTAGACCTAGACCGGACTGACTGACCGACCGGTACCGTTTCTGTTCAGGCCTCTCGGCCTCTACCGGACCCGGGTACAGGCTATAGGACCGTCTAGCAGCATAGGCCACTTAGGGCCTGTCTGTCCTAGGGGTAGCCCGGGCCTGCTATACGCAGTTAGGGTAGCTGTAGGAATTCGCGTTAGTACTGGGCTAATATTTTCCCAGATTTGCAGATATGTCCCTCACGAATTTCCTTACAGGTAGGTCTCTCGGTTAGCCCTCAGCCAAACAAAATTACGAATCTAACCCTACCGGTTAGTGTACAGCCTTGCAGTCAATCTCGGCAGTCAGAATCAGCTAGTCATTGCAAAGGTAACGCTGTGGTCCATCTGGAAGGAAAGGTGCTGTAGAACGGAGCCATTGAGGGACTCTCAACTCCAAGGGCATAAGGTATGGGCGGAGACAAAGACTTTGATTCAGGCGGAGATCCTTTGTAAGTGGCACAAGACGAGACAGTCCATGCCAGATGACGAAGAGCAACAGAGAAGAATCAAGGCAAAATTCACTGAGGTGTGGCTTGCAAGGGGCAAAGTGGCAGAGGTAAATGACTTTCACATACGATGGAAAGACTGGCACAACTCAGAAGCAGGGTGGAGAAGGCAGAGATCCCAGCCAGCAGAAGGACAACACCCATCACAGGTCACATAGTATTGGAGCGCGAATCCCGAGACTGCAACAACTTCCGTAGCTTCTCTTACCTTTCTTGCTCAGTAACTTCATTATTTATCTGGCAGGCTCATGGAGTGGACCTGAGAGGAAAGGTGTAAGGCAAGCTGACAGTCAATCCTCCACGACACGGGAGTAATCAATGCTGGTCAGGGTTCCTTCGGCCGGACGAAAGGAAGCGTGAGTGTGTGTCATGATGTAATATTTCTTTCTGACTTGCCGGTGGAATAGGAACCGGACTGATGCTCCCCAGAATGGAAATGGAGCCAGGGCCGTAAGGACCTGTTNAAAAAAAAAGGAAAAGAAAAGAAGCTTTAAGAAAGAGACAAAACAATAAACTTGAATAAAGAGGGTCTGCTGACTCTGCTCTTTTTTTCTTTTTTTTTCTTTTTTTATTATTATTATTATTATTTTTATTATTATTTTTTTTTAAAGTAAGCTACATTCTTCTCTCAATTTCACCTCACACTACCTACTACAACTACTACTAATTATAGTCATACGGTGAACCCTGTAGCAGCCAGAACCGTGTCCACGAGAGAACATGCGGGGGCTGCTCCCGACCTGCAGGTGGGCGGGGACAGCCGGTAGCATCAGGGACCATGCCTGCCAACAGGACCAATCCCTGTGCCTCCCCTCAGGTGGTGGTCCCCTCCCTTACGAACGTCAGCAGACTCTGCTCAATGCCGTTGGGGTCTGCTGTTTTGGAGAGAACTGCAATCTTGTGAATGGTGCTCGCTGGCCATCGGACAAAATCGCAGTCTCACAGATGGAGATCTCATTTTGACAACGAAAAGTCTGCTCACGTACCCTTCATGCGTTCAGTTCTATCACTCTGATCTCTGTTCATGAAGAGGTCTCGTTTCAGTGACAGCATAGCAAGATAAGCTTGATTACACCGCGCCCGCCCTGAAAAGTAAAATTAGCTGGATTAGAATAAAAAATGTAAATATGACAATTTGACAAATCACTGTTCATGAATCCATCTGATGCGCTGTGCCCACATTGCGGATGTGTGAGTGATTGGAGAATTGGAAATTTAACTGGATCAGAATTAAAAATATACAATACAGAAATGACAAATCACTGTTCATGAATCCGTCTGATGTGCTGTGCCGACATTGTGGACGTGTGAGCGATCAGAGAATCGGGATTTTCAAATCTGGGGGCCATTAGCACCAACGCCTCTCGAAAGTGGCAGACAGGAGCTCTCAGAGTTGTTCACATCATTTGGTGTGCGCCGTGCTACCTTTCCTGGAGATCATGAACTCTGAGCAGACAGGAGAGTTAGTTGCCCTCATCCGTCAAAAGAAGGATGGAGCGATACGGAGAAGAGTAGGTAGCATGGCGCAAGGATGACACACATAAATTGAGAAATGGTCCAGATTTCTTGGGTTCGAAAAAAAAGAAAAGAAAAGAAAAGAAAAGTAAAGAAAAGAAAAAAAGGCCAAGCGGCAGTTGGGACGCTGGACCTGCTTTCCAGCAGGTGTTGCTCCCCACCAATAGATGGAGCCTCTCCCCCGATGCTAGCGGTGTCTACCCTTACCAGCACCGCTTGCACTGGAGGGGGTGTTTCGGGAAAAAAAAAAAAAAAAAAAAAAAAAAAAGGCCAAGCGGCAGTTGGTAGAGCATGAAAGCGGCATTCAGGAGGTTGCGGGTTCGATTCCTCACAGTGCCCAATCGAGCCCCCACATCTCCTGAGGCGCGCTGCACGTTCAACAGCTGAGATAGTCAGCTTGTCCCTCCTGGCTGGTCGGTGGGGATTGCCACCCGTTGCCAGGGGTTAGGGTTCAACCCTTGAGGGGATAGGCGCAACCCTGAGGGGATAGGCTCAACCCATAACCCTTAGTGTAGCTAGCCGCTGGAGGGTAGATCAACATGTGTATCATTCCTAGTTAGGTAGGTAGTGGGAGGTATATAAAAAAAAAGGAGGTACAGATATGTGCCTGGCATCCAAAGTGACCCAAGGTGGCAGGGTTCAGCTAGGCGTGCGCAGAGTAGGCTGTATAGCTACTATAGTATAGGTGGCTATGGGGAGTGGGAGCGCGCTAGGG